ATTGTCCATAGAGCCAAATGCAGACACTAAATCAAAAGAGATTTGGCTTCTTTAATTTGTTCTGTAGAGGGGAGAGGCCGTGATTTCAACAGTAACAGAGGGAAAGCACTTGACCCTCCCAAATGCACCAGCTGCCAGGGAGGCTTGGTCCCAAACTGAGAGTTATTTCACATCCCTGCTTGTTCATGTAACTGAAGCAAGGGAGTTAAATGTGTGCTCTTGCCTTCCTCTGGCGAGTTTTGCTGTGTTGCAGGTGGCGCCCAGAGCTCCAAGGCCCGTTTGTGCTTGCTTAGTCAGGTTCATGCAACCTTTGAAAGGGCAATTCTGGCCCAGAAGAGCTTGTAGGGGTCTGGAGACATCCTCTTGGCCACCCTGCAGGATCAGCACTCCCAGTATCGCTCCTGATGGATTGACTTTTCTGGGCTAGGTGACCCTCTGGTAAGGATAATTCCATGCTGTTCCCAGCAGCCCGCTATATCTCCCTTCTGAGCGGTTCCTTTGCTGTCACTTAGCAACTAAAAGCTCTTCCCTGGATTAGCAGAGAAGTGGCAAGTACAAGGCTTTATTGTACTGCTCTTTTCCACTTAGAGCAGGACCTGCGATGCTGCTCTTGGCACCGAGGTCTCCACAAAGGCCAAACAGCTCTGGGTGTTCTCCTTGCCCACCTGAAAACATTTACAGAGCCTCTGCAGTGAATCAGTGTCAAGCCTTTCTGTGTTGTACAAGCAGCTCTCCAGCCTGAGCGTGAGCCAAGTACCAGCTCTTTCAGCTCTCCAAGCAGCTGGCTTCCCTAACCCCAGCAGGACTGGGTCTGCATCACTTCCCGAGGCAGTAAGTGCTCCTTACATGACTTGTGCATCCATCGAATAGTCCGAGAGGTCAGAAAGGAGCTTTATCCAACTTGGTCTGGAGAATTCAGGCTCTGCCCCTGCTACCACAAGGAACAGAGATTCACAGTTCCGGGCACATCGTCTTTCAGGGTCTCTGTGAAGCCATCTCCAAACCCCTCTGCTTCCACCAGCTCAGGTTTCTTGTTGCACATGGGGCAGAGCTGGTTGCGGATGGCAGATGATCTCATCCAAACAATGAGGTTCCAGCGTTCCCCAGAGGCGATGGGAAGCGCCCCGTGGATCTGCCCTCCTCGGTGTAACAGCCCCTGGGCTCCCACGTGTTCGATCTCTATGTACTTTGGCACAGGGGTAGGATCCTGGAACAAAGGGAGGTGGATACAGCTTTATGCCAGAAAGCCCCTAGCAAAACAATGCTCTAACAGTTGGAACTTGTCACCTCTTCACCCGCAGCACCCAGTGAGCAACATGGAGAGGACTCACTGCACCTCCGGAAAGCAGCCACTTCAGTGGGGGCTTGGCAGCAGTTTAACACAGTTGTTTTCCAAGAGAGAATTTAAAGAGAGAGTTTCAACCAAAAACCTGTTTCACCAGTGTATGGGAGCTTTCACCCCTCTCTTGCCTGGAGTCCCCTGGAAATCGGGGCTACAGATTTAGGTTTAAGTCTCATCTGAAATAAGTTGCTGCTCTTTTTCTCCCAGCACCTCCCTGCTTGCTACTGCAGTTGTGAAAAGATGGGCTGGTTTGTTTCACCCCAGTTTCTCCTACAGTTGCTGTCTGCCCTCTCTCTGAAGCTTGAATATTGGTAATGTGCTTGTAGGAAAACAAGGGCTCCTGTATAACCAACATGTTTTTAAAAAGGGGGAAGGAACAGAGCAGGTTTGACTGTCAGAAATAAATAGCTGTGTTTCAGCACACAGTTAATGCCTTGAAACTGGAGGGATGAGGAGATAGAGGGAAACAGAGTCAGGGTCTGGGTTAGGAATATACTCGGTACCTGGCTGAAATCCCCAAAGTACAAGTTGCCTTCTGTGAAGTCTTTTCCCAGTGAAACGTTTAAGGTGACTTCTGCATTGTCATAGTGAGAGCTCAGATCCAGATCTTCGTGCAGAGAGTACTTGACAACAAATGCCTTATGGCTGTCCAGGCAGGCCCCCCCCACGTCAGGATAGAGCAGTGCTGTTATGGGCCGCAGGTATTTTTCCCGCAGGGGCGTGATGAAGGTTTCATCCATCCCAAGCTCGTTTAGCAAAACCTGTCCCAAAGAAGAGGAGATGGGAAGAGCTGATCAGCTACATCTGCTGCTTCATCAGAGCTGTCTTGTTCTCTTCTAAACCTGCTGCTTGCTCAGACAAAGAACTTTAGAGCAAAGGCTCCAGCTACAGGCAAAAGAAGGAGGATCAAGGTGGGAAGTGATGGGGAAAAGACAGAGCAAGATCAAAAGTTGAGTGTTCTTTCAAAAAGGACTCCTTGATTTAAATGTGCATTGCTTAAATACAAGGTGCTCTTTGCTCTGAGATACCAAGTCCCATCCCCTTTCCCTGCACGCCCCTGTCCTTTTGTCTGTGTGATGCATTCCCTCAACCCTTTCACTTCAAGGGGGCTGTATTCAAACTGCACTGTGCTCAAATACAGTCATTTTGGAAGGGAAAGGAGCATGAAGTGAGGAGGTGAACCCGAGACTGCTTGTGAACACTCCCCCTAAAGAAGCACAAGAGACAGTGAGTCCTACCCCATAGTTATTCATAGTGTTGGGCCTGCCTTTAGGCATATCCGACTGCTCAAAGTTCTCCAGCTCATCCACAAAGGCCTGGCAGAACTCCTCTGTGAACACTGGGAGTCGATAGATCCTCTTATCTGCCAAGAGAAAGGAGACACAGTTTGCTGGGGAAAGTAACAGGCAAGAGTGCTGGTGGCTGTCGTGCTGTCTGACAGGGAGAACACAGGACCCGCGTGCTTTGCTTTGTGCTCAGGCTGCTCAAAGGGCTGCAACCATTCCCTGGGATCAGCTCTGGGATGTATCTCATGTCAGCCCCTCATTTCCAGGCTTCCCCATCCAGCCAGGATGATCAAAATGCCTGCTCTGTGTGCCAAGGAGATGTTTTGAGGGAGTCTAGAGGGAGGGCAGAGATTTGGCTCATCGCAGGCACCCAAATACAGCCTCATGGAAGGAGGCGGCTCAAGGTCATTTGGGGGATGTGGGACCCACTCACCCAGTGCCAACCTTCTGGGAAGACCAAGCTTCCTAGTCTGTCTTTCAGGGTAGAGCCCTAAAGGTCTGTATAAGAGGAGCTCAGTATTGAGGATAAGGACAGCATGGAAAAGCTGCGTGTCTGGAAATCGTGCCTTGGACAAATGCAGGAGCCCTGCACATACACAACATCTGCGTCTTTCCTTTTGTCTTGAGAAAAGGAGGCAACTTTGCAACTTCCCATCCACATTTTGTCAGCTTTTCTGGTAGGGAGAGAGCTTCACAGATGCCTCCAGGGAAGCTTAAAACCCAGCTCTCTCTCTAAAAGCATGAAATCTAGACAGAAACGGTTTCAGCTCAGACTAACCAACAGGGATTGTCTGAACTGGTAATGCACTTGGGGAGGGAAAACCAAGCTCCTGGAGCTAACAGTGGTCCTTCCGCAGGCTCCCCTGTGGGGCTGTGGTACGGCCAAAACCCCAGCCCTGCTGCAGGCTGGAGCCTCTGATGAGACATCAGCAGACTGGGACTGGGACAGCAGAGAACAGTATCTTCTCCAGAGCATAACCACTGCACCAAACTGCCCCTCCAGAGACCCTCGTCAGGCAGCAAATAGCATCCTGTTTGTCTCAGCTGAATACCAAACCTGAGCTATTAAGGACAGGACTTGAAAACTGAAGCTGCAGTGTCACACAGGGGGGGCTTTGTGGCTGATGTGTTGTTTTCTTTACCTGAGAAGGACTCGAGGTAGCGCAGGAGGCCATGGAGATGAGCATCCGGAGACGTGCAGTATCTCACGATTTCCAAAAAATCAGGGGCCAGGAATGAATCCTGGCATCGAGGGAAGGATGAAAATACACAGAACACAATTAGCCTGCAGAGTATTCCACAGCCCAAGAGGGAAACAGACCTCCAGGCACATAAATATGTAGAGTCTAGGGAGCAAGGCTGATAGTCACACTTGGGTTACTTCTGTGGTGTTTTTCTCGATGGTTTAGGTAAGTTGCTGCTTTCTCTAGTTGGTGGGTTTTGAAGTATAACTGACCAGATGTATTCTTAGTGTGACAGGAAAGAGCCTGGCTCACATTATGGACTCCTAACAGGTAAATGCAAAGTCTTTCCTAGTAGATTTAGCATCTCGTCATGGCCTCAGCACAAGAGAGTGACTATGCTCTGCTTTCAGCACTTCCCCACGCAGACCATGAAAGACAATGGCAGAACAGACAATGTCAGAACTTGTTACTAAAGGATCATGGGGCAGGAAATCTGCATGGACTTGTCTGTGCATTGCTGCTCATCTGTAGTAATTATCCAGCTGGGAAGCCTTGGGTCTGGCAACATGAGGACATTCAAAGTGGAGTTGGGCTACTCTGCCTTTGCAGTGGGGTGCGTATGTGCAAGCAGCCTGCTGCCCCCCTCCAGCTGATAGTAACACAAAACATGTCTGTGTGCAGCCCATAAAGGCTCATTGCTGTGGCTGTTCATTAACCTTCACTGTTTGCTGCAATGACACTTTAAATTACTGATGGTATCCTGAGTCCAGTACCAGGTGCTGGTGCAGCTCCAATACAGAACGATCCATGTGGAGCCTTGCCTGTCCTGTGAAAGTTTTACATTCAGGCTTTATATGCTACAGCTCGGGTTTAATTCAGTCCAGCTTTAGTGCTGGGTGTACTCCTGAGGAGAAGAGGGCTTCCTACTGCAAAAACAAGCTCTCAGGCAATCCCTTGGGAGCAAAATAGGTTCCAAACGTGCTGCCTACCTGCAGAGTGTACACTTCTGGGTGTTTTCTCTTGTAGCACTCTGAGATGATGGCTTTGCGTTTCACTGACTGCTGAATTAACTGTCTTCTTCTGTTCACTTCTGCCTCAATCTACAAGTAAACAGCAGAGGACACTGTTAGAAAACCAAAAGGGGTAAGTAAAACAATAGCAGGAATTTGCTCATTGTTTTAAGCCAGTTATTTTTGTTCCAGGCACCTCTGTGAGACAGTGTTTGCCTTTGCTTTGCTGTAGCCAAGACCAGGCCAATAAACAGCTGAAAAGCCAAATGCCCAAAAGGGATTTGAGACACGTTCTCGTCACAGATGGCTTAAAAAAGAATAACTGAAGTGTTTCTATGGATGCCGTGAGGTTTCAGCCCTCTCAGGCATTCTGACACCTCGTGGAATGCCAGCTTAAGAATCTGGCTTATGTTCTGACAATACAAGCATTGTCCAAAATATAGACATTTGCTGGGAGGAAGACAGGAGGTGTCACGGAGGGATTACTGCTAAGTGTTGTGTGGACAGGCTAATCTGCCATTTCAGAGGGAAGAGCTGTAGTGGCAGCTGATTCAGACAGTTCTTCCTGTTTAGTAACCCCCTGTGAGATTAGTTTATAACATTCCCTGGGGAAAAAAAAGGAAGGAGAGTGTGCTCCAGACCCCTGGTGATGTGGTTGCAATAACTAACACCATTTTATAAGGCAAGCAGCCATTCTCTGCAACCAAGGGGTTCACATACTCATTCCCTTTCCCTCCTTATTAGCCCCCGAAGGGTTGAGCCTTGGCTCCTGTGAGCCAAGCAGATGAACCAAACAGATTTCTTCCTCCCCTCCCTACCAGGCTTAAGGCTCCTGGGCACCAGGATTATTCCCTTCCCTGCTGGCCTTGAGGGTCCCGAGCACCCAGGTGCTGCTGCTGATCTCATCACTGAACAGGGAGGTCTAACAGCACCCAAAGCCTATAAAATCAGTGCTACAAGCCCTACATGGGGAAGATGGGTTGGAATTGCTGTTGGATAGTGAGAGCTGTGACCCTTCCATGGCCAGGGACACCCCCATCGTTGTCATCATCATCATCATCATCATCATCATCATGTGTCAAGGCTGAGGACTGAGTGAGTGACTTGCATTCTTTTATGTGATTTTTGAGTCCACATGATGATGGTTATAGTGAGACAGAAAACCACGTATTAACATCTGACCTCATTTGCTGAGGGTCTGAGTGACTAAAGTGAGGATTTAGCTGATTAGAAACTATAATTCATGATCCAGAAATGCAGAGTTAAGTTGTATTGTACATTCTGTGCTTGCTGTGCTACGCTGGTTCTGTCTGTAGGAATTTCATGCCATTCTAACTAGAAATTCTTTACCATGCTAATCATAACCTCCTGTTAAGAAAATGACGCTTTAATTGCAACTATGACTTAGTGCCATCCTCCTCCTGCCAAGAATCCCTACAAGAACATGCCTGTCCCCTTAGTGCCGGTGGAATTACAGCCGGTTGTGTGGCCGGGAAAGAAACACAGGCTCCTGCCTGCGGAGTGTCCTGAGGGGAGAGTTCTCTCCATAACCTCCCATGAACTCCGTAGGACCGGAGCGATCCCATCTCAGGGCGCGTTTAACAGCAATTAAAAGTGATGAGTTAAAACAAACCCAGACTAAGCCCTGGGAGCGCCGCTGGAGGACACTTTAGTAACGCGCTGAGGATTTACCTTCACGGTGTTGCCGGTGTAAGCGCAGCCCCGACCGCATCCGGACGCCAGCGGGGAATGTCCTCCCAG